GTAGCAAAGAATTCTGGCCCAGATTTGGCATAAAGCTGGCACAGCAGGCAATTATCCGGCACTGGCATACAGCATATGGGCCAAACATGGCCCGGGTTTGGCAGAGGTGGCACCGTCTTTAAGGCGGCACACAAGATTTGGGCCAGATGAAAAATGTAGTATTTGGCCCAGATTTAAAAATTTGATAAGTGGGCCATGTGAGTTTGGTCAGTCTTGACCCACATTTAAAATACACTAAAATCATTTTTGAGTAAAGAAAAAAAATTCTACCAATCAGGTCACTTTGAGAAAAAGCGTGCCCATAGTGTGCCTAAAGCGCATCACTCCATTGGTTTATCAATTTCATTGCAATCGTGACACACCAACCTATCTGGCCCAGTTCAGGCCCAGTTATGAGTTATTAAGTTGGCTGAGACTTGGCCCAGATATGGTCTGTGTTTGGCCCTTGTCTGGAAGCCAGATTTGGTCCTGTCATGTATCGTAATTCATTGCGGCATGTGGGCCAAGCAAAACCTGATTGTGTGGGCCAGAGCTGGGCCAGAAAAATTTTGCTATGTGGGTATATACCACAGTCATTTGGCTCACGAAACTCTCACAGTGCATTTTGGGTATTTTCTAGCTGTTGAGTGAACATTGGTTTTACACTTGTTATTGCGGTGCATTGTATGATTGAGTGCACTTGAATGTCCACTATGGTTTCTGACGCCGTGCTCCCTCAAATAATGCATGACAAGGGTATAAAGCCATTTGATTCAAAAATCTTAAAAATAATAAAACGTATCTCTCCATCTAAATCCGCCACAGGGTGGACAGCCGGACAGCGAAGGAATAAGAGCGAGTGCCAGCATTGCTTTGTATACTAATTAAAACTAACGAGTCCAGGTGCTGCCTGCAATCGACATAACGGAGAGCCAGGCGGTATGTTTGCGTTGGTGGTTTGCCTTGATTAAAGTCTTCATCCATTCTGCTTAGGAATCTCAAGAATATTGAGGAACGCCGATGAGAGTTCAGTATGAATTATAAAATATATGATGAAAAAGCTGTTGAGTCTCAAGAGGGTATTCAGACGCATACCAGCAGCTTAATGAAACTTTATGTAGCTGGTCGCACATTGTGTTATTGAGATGCCTGTGTGTGGAGTGTTTTATAAAACGCCCAAAACCAAAAAGATACTTAAAAATTATAAATAAATAGAAAAAAATAGAATGGAAACAAATTAGAAGCAATGTTAATTCATATTAATTTTTATTTAAATTTATATTATTAAATATAAAAAAATAATAATAAAATAAGTGACTTCTTTACTGTTTCTTTATATATATATATATATATATATATATATATATATATATATATATATATATATATATATATATACATACTGTTTCTTTATATATATATATATATATATATATATATATATAAATATATATATATATATATATATATATGTGTGTGTGTGTGTGTGTGTATGTATATATATATATATATATATATATATATATACATATATATATATATATATATATATATATATATATATATGTATATATATGTGTATGTATGTGTGTATATATATATATATATATATATATATATATATATATATGTATGTATGTCTGTGTGTGTGTGTATATATATATATATATATATATATATATATATATATATATATATATATATATATATATATATATATATATATATATATATACACACACACACACACTTACTGGCCACATTATTATGTACACCTTACTAGTACTAGTATCTCAGATATGTTTGTCCACATTGATAAGATAGCATCATGCAGCTGCTGCATATTTGTCGGCTGCACATCCATGATGCGAATCTCCCATTCCTCCACATCCAAAGGTGATCTATTGGATTGAGATCTGGTGACTGTGGAGGCCATTTCAGTACAGTGAACTCATTGTCATGTTCAAGAAAGCAGTCTGAGATGATTCACACTTTATGACATGGCGTGTTATCCTGCTAGAAGTAGCTATCAGAAGATGAGTACACTGTGGTCATAAAGGGATGGACATGGTCAGCAACAATACTCAGGTAGGCTGTGGTGTTGACATGATGCTTAATTGCTACTAATGGGCCTAAAGTGTGCCAAGAAAAAATCCCCCACACCATTACACCACCACCACCAGCCTGAACTGTTGATAAAAGGCAGGATGGATTTATGCTTTCATGTTGTTTCACGACGACAAATTCTGACCCGACCACCCGAATGTTTCAGCAGAAATCGAGACTCATCAGAGCAGGCAACGTTTCTCCGATCTTCTATTGTCCAATTTTGGTGAGTCTGTGTGAATTGTAGCCTTAGTTTCCTGTTCTTAGCTGACAGGAGTGGCACCCGGTGTGGTCTTCTGCTGCTGTAGCCCATCCGCCTCAAGGTTGGACGTGTTGTGTGTTCAGAGATGCTCTTCTGCTTTCCTCTTTCAATGAAGTCGCCGGTGTGGAAGCATTTGGGATTTCCAGTGAGTTACGTTGACAACGTTCGTGTTGTCGACAAAAAAACCCCCCACAGTTTGCAAGCTCTGCTATGTACATATTAGGGTTAGACAACACCGGCATCTCGCTCCTCCACCCCGCACCCGTTGCAAATCCGCTTGCGAAAAATACACACTCAGGCCCTGTTTACACTAATATGTCTTTGTTTTTAAATTGCATTTTACAACAACAACGTTTTGACATCCACAGTGGCGTGTAGCATTTCTGAGCAGCCCTCCTTCATCACTACTGCTGAAAACGCACATCACGTGACCACACACACTCAGACACAGACGCACACACACAGCCATGCGCTCAAGACAGCAGGTTCAGGCAGTCAGAGGACTGCTTCAATCTTTCACTCACTTGTACTTAGTCATTTTAGCGCACACCTCAGATACTGTTGGCTGGTTCCTGTTGGTTGTGCACCTTTTTTACCGATGCCATTATAACGACACAGATCACTGCCTATTCACGAGTCCCGCAGAAAAAGTGATTGACAGGTGGTAATTATGTGTGTATCTTGCCTTTATTCATTTACTGTATGATTTGTTTATGGGTAAAACAAACACCATGCAGGTCAGGTAGTTTAAATGGTGGGCTACAAATAATTAATTCATTATTAATTAATTAATTATTCATAATAAAAAATTTAATCAAACCGTGACCTTAGAATCGAAAATGTAATCGAATCGAGGATTTGGAGGATCATGACACCATTAATATATATATATATATATATATATATATATATATATATATATACTAAATTTTATTTGCAATAGCATTATGAGACTATTATTATGGTATACACAATCATTTGTTACTTATTCAAATATGCTGTTTACATATACCAAACAAAATCCTGTAATGCACTGCAACATCAGATGAAGTTACACACTTGAACGTATATTACATAGTTACTTATAGTAAATACTTTTTAGAAAAGTAGATCTCTTTGCTAATAAATGCTGCAGCATAGTGTTGTGTTAACTATAGTGAACTGATAAACAGTAAAAAAATATACTATAGTATACTCTAGTTTTTATTACAGTAAACTGTGGTGTATTGTAGTATAGTTGTATACAGCTTGGTACAGTATTGGGTAATTTGTACTATAGTATTGTTATTACCACAGAAACTATATGATTTAATGAGTACTTTACTATAGTATGATTTGAAAACACCAGTATTTACTATACATGAATAATAGTTAATTTTAAAGTCATTTAATTTAAATAATAATAATAATACTTCCGTGTATGATCTGTGCTAAAGTGCTACCCTAAATTACTGGGTAATTTGTTTAAATTACTATAGTATTATATTATTACCATGTAAACTATAATCTGTTTCAAGTACTGTACTATAATATTTTACAGTATTATAGTACTTGTATTATAAACTAGTATTTAGTAAACTATTATAATTAAATATACTAGTATTTATCATTATTAAATATTTACTAATTCAATGACTTCATATGGGGTGATGCGGTGGCGCAGTAGGTAGTGCTGTCGCCTCACAACAAGAAGGTCGCTGGTCCGAGCCTCGGCTGGGCCAGTTGGCATTTCTGTGTGGAGTTTGCATGTTCTCCCCGTGTTCGCGTGGGTTTCCTCCAGGTGCTCTGGTTACCTCCACAGTCCAAAGACATGCGGGACAGGTGAACTGGGTAAGTTAAAATTGTCAGTACTGTATGTGTGCATGAGAGTGTTTGAGTGTTTCCCAGTGATGGGTTGCAGCTGGATGGGCATCCGCTGCGTAAAAACATATGCTGCGTAATAACATATGCTGGATTAGTTGGTGGTTCATTACGCTGTGGCGACCCCACATTAATAAAGGGACTAAGCCGAAAAGAAAATGAATGAATGAATGAATGAATAACTTCATATGGTTCAAAAACACAAGGCTACTTACCAAATTAATTTTTTCATGTGGGTAGCTGCAATAATAATTCAGTTCATAATCATTTTATTATAAAATTATTAATAAAAATACAATATGTGATGAAGTACCCTGAAGTATGAGTATTTTTTAGATTAGCCTATTATTACCTCAGAAACTAAATAATTTAATTCAAGTACTTTAGTGTAGTAGCCTATGTTTAAAAAGCACTTGAGGATTTACCATAAAGTACTATAGTGTTATAGTAGGTATAGCAGCAATAATAATCCATTTCGTAGTCATTTAATTAACAAACATTGCTCAAAATGTTCCCTGTACGATCTGTGCTAATTAAAGTAGCCCATCGTTCTGTTTTTACAGCAGCTTGTTCATGTCAAACATGTTAAAAATAATAAGATGGAGATAGCCTGGTTATTATTGACGATGCTCCCTATGTAGGCCCAAGGCAGCAGCACAGTATGTTTTGAAACAGACTCGAGGTTTCTGTGGGGTTTTTAACGGTCTCCACTGTGCAGAAATACAGTATATTAATGTGTGTTTGTGCATTGAGCGCCCTCTAGAGTTTCACAAATGAATGACCGCAAAACAGATGTGTTTAACATCATTTTATTACAAATATGTACAAACAAGTCTTGCATTACACTAAATGAACATTCATGAACATGTCTATGTACACAGGTTAAAATATATACACATGTATAAAATATAGGACATTATAAAAGCATTAACTTAAATATTTTTGGTAGATTTGTGTAGCTGCAACTTTTATAAAGCAGAAAAGCATGGAGATGCAGCCTGCATTTATACCCGTTTTCTTTTTTAAACAACATGGAAATCATTTTAGCAAGGATTTTTGAAGAAAAAAGGGTTAAAATAAGTTAATTTTTTAAAAGAAATGCTCAGAATTTGCAGCAGTATCCGCAGCCTTTATTGCGACAGCATTTGCAGCAGAATCTGCACAGGGAAAGGTGACTTTGGCGCTTGGTCCTGAACAGAACCTATGAGGATTAAAAAAAAAGACAGACATTTTTTTTAATTAATTATACAAGCTGAATAATTAAAACTTTGTACTAATTTAAATGAATAATAATTTGATTATTTAGTATTTACAGTTTGTGATACTTTAATTAATAGTATTCATTCTTAATTTTAATTAATTAAAATTATACAATTTATTATACAATAATAATTGTACAAATTATTATTTTAATTTGTATAATTTTTTATACATGCATATTACATTTTATTTAAGTCCGAAAACTTAAATCCAATAGAAATATAATAAACATTAAAAATGTACAATTCAATTAAAAAAAATTGAATTAAATCTTCTCATTATTAATATATTAATAAGATTTGATTGCATTTATAATCATATTTATAATCATTTATAATCATATTTCATTCAAATAAAATCCTAAAATATTTCTTCATATTCACATATAAAGACAATATAGTAATAATTTTGATGAAACATTACATTTTACTTAAAGACCAACCCCTAATTTATTCAATACAATAATAAATAAATAGATGCATATAATAATAAATAAATATTAATAACTTTTGATCAAACATCAACTTTAAGTTTATATTATTATTTACATTAGGTTATACAGTGCTCAGCCTATATAAGTACACCTCATTTTAAAATTGAATATTCCATTTCTCAGTAAATATAGGCAATGTATTTTGGAGCATTGAAAAAAAAATATTAAACAGATATATTTATTAAAATAATATTTTAGTCACTGAACAGAAAGATTGAAAGATAATACAATTAAATTCAAGCAAAATATTGCAAAACATAAATTACAACCTACTAAATTTCTACAAACTTTTTGCTTTTTTTTTTTTTTTTTGCTTCTCTTGATTTTTATTTATTTGTATTTATTATTTTTCTATAAAATATACATTTGGGTGTACTAGTTTTTGGACCATTATAACAAGTTATTTTGTTAGATGAGCTCCAGATTTGGCTTTTCAGTACTGACTAATCTAATGTATATGCACAAATATAATCTTATAAAGATTAATATTATTAAAAATCTAAATTTAACAAATAGATTTGTGGAGGGGTGTACTCATACACTCTCAGAAATAAAGGTATGTAAGCTGTCACTGAGGTAGCACCTTTGCAAAAGGTACAAATTTGTATCTTAAAGGTCCATATTAATACCTCAAGGGTATATAATAGTACCTAAAAAGTACAAAAGTGTTCCACTTAAAAATTTGTAGGTATTAATATATACTTTTGAGGTACCAATATGGACCCTATAAGTACAAATGTGTACCATTTGAAAAGGTACCCACCCAGTGACAGCTTGCATACCTTTATTTCTGAGAGTGTAGATGCTGATCACTGTACATATATAAACTATCAATTGTTTAGTTGTATTTTTAATTTGTGTCTATGTATTATTAATATCAATCAATACAAACCTAAACTAACTAATAAAAACCTTCCTATAACTAATAGGCCAAAATCATATCCCTGTTACAAATAAGTAAAAGTCTTCTAATAATTGGTGTGAGGTCTTCATACCAGAGGGTCTGTTAGTCTGTGTTCAGCTTCAGTCAGATGTTGGTTCTCCTGCAGTTCTTCACTCTCCACATGATGCTCATCCTGTACCTGCTGATTAATCAAACACACACAGCTTCAATATGAGTTTGCCTTTCAGAAATTCACTGATAACGTTATATAATGCCAAACACCATATACACAATTCAGTGTACAATATGTAAACCAAAGTTCTATGTCATAATGTTGGTACCATTATGTAAGAAGCATGCAAAAGCCATGTTGAAAAATAGAAATGAACATATATTATTATGCTTTCTTGTTATATTCTGCCTTTTTTCTACTTTCTACTTTTTACTATCTACTTTCTTTTTTCTATAATACTAACTATTTTACTAAAAACAAGCAATTTCCCATGTATGTGAATGTGTATTGTCTATATGTCCCCATAGGTATAGAAATACCAGTACATTTTGACCTTTTGGGGACATTTTATTGGTCTTCATGAATAAAAAAGCTCATAAATCAGACGGAAAGTATTTTGAAATGTAGAATCTGACCTGTATGAAGGGAACGGCTGTGATCTGGAAGACACAGACACAGGTCAGGATGACGACAGCAGCCAGAAACACGTTAGAAAGCTTCATCTTCAGTTTTGGAGGATGATGATGATGATGATGATCTTTTTCTTCTTCTTGTGGATCTACTTTTCTTCTGCTCGGCTCTGATATTTATAGTGAGCTCAGTTTGTCCTTTGACCCGTGTGACGCTTTAGCTCTTCCAGTCAGATGTTGCACAATGCTGGAAACTGTCCATTGCAGCACAGTGACAGGAAAAAAATCACACATGAATGAGGGAATGAACCAAAAAAATAAAAGCTATTGAATTTATATGCTAGTTTATTTATTCGTTCATTTTCATTCGGCGTAGTCCCTTTAATCATCAGGGGACGACGCCACAGCGGAATGAACCACCAACTTATCCAGCATATGTTGTATGCCCATTTTTCTCAAATATAAAATATATTTTTATATATATGAATAAAAAATAAATAAATAAAAAACATTTCATACTGAAATATTTAAAGATGACATTTAAAAAAACAACTTTTAATAAAAACTTCTATTTTTAATATTTCCCAAATGATGTTTAACAGAGCAGGGACATTTTCACAGAATGTCTGATAATCTTTTTTTCTTCTGGAGAAAGTCTTATTTGTTTTATTTCAGCTAGAACAGAAGCAGTTTTATAGCGTTTTAAAAAGTCTTTTTCTCTTAAAACCCATTTTAAGGTTTCCTCCGGGTGCTTCGGTTTCCCCCACAGTCCGAACACATGCGCCATAGGGGAATTGAATAAACTAAATTGGCCGTAGTGTATGAGTGTGAATGGGTGTTTCCTAATACTGGGTTATGGCTGAATGTACATCCGCTGCTTAAAATATATGCTGGAATAGTTGGCGGTTCATTCCGCTGTGGCGACCCTTGATAAATAAGGGACTAAGTCAAAGAAAAATGCATGAATGAACTTACTGTAAATGTATAAACAGCGTTATAACATTTAACTGTTTGTAAGATTTCTTTTTGTTTATTTGTTAAGTTCATTTACAGTAATATTACACAAATATTTATTATGTCATTGTTATGTATTGTTATGTCAATGCTATATTGTGATTTATTATTGCTATAAAATAATGAAATAGACTATTAAAGCAACTTTTTTTGTTTATTTATTTCCCTTTTTATTTATTTATTTGTTTATTTATTTATTTACTTACATATTTATTTCAATTATTTATTTACTTATTTATTTAATAATTTCATTTTTATTTCCTTATTTATTAATTTCCTTGTTTATCTTCTTATTGATAAATTCATGTATTTAATTACATATTTATTTATTTACTTATTTAATTTACTTATTTGTTTACCCATTTCCTTATTTAACTACTTAATCATTTCCTTATTTATTTATTTCCTTATTTATGTATTTATTTACTTATTTATTTATTTATTTATTTATAAACGTATTTGTTTACTTATTTACTTTTTTCCATTTACTTATTTATCTATTTGTTTATTTATTTATTTATTTATCTACTTATTTATGTATTTACTTATTTATCTACTTATTTATTTATTTATTTATCTATCTACTTATTAATTAATTAATTTATTTATTTATTTGGACTAGAAAAGCCATTGCATTGTCATTTGCAATGCATGATCTGGATTTTTCTGGATGCCAAAGAAACTTTTCTTTAGCAAATATGAATAAACTCTGTGTAATTGTCCGGCCGGCGTCATAAAGACAGTCTAATAACAGAGCAAACAGATTGCGGAGGTGTGTAGACCTCAGATAACCTTCTGCAAGAAGACTTTTTGTCAATATCGCCAATAAAAAACATATGTGCAAACAGCCTCGATGAGCACTTCAGTTATTACTCTTTTATTTCCATCAGAGGAATGTAAAGTGCAGATGAAATCGCCATAAAAACACAGTCTGCCCTTACTGATTTATTATTTTGCTAATGACATAAAATTTCCATTAAATAAAGGACAAGTCTAGGGCACTTTTCGGAGAATTATGATTGAGTATTTCTGCTTGAATTATTTAGAAATGCACTTTGAGGATGATTCACTTTTCTCTTGCTTTCTCTGCTATAAATCACAGATGATCAAAACCTCCTCAAAATGCATTGAAATGAGAATACTGAATTTCTTAATCAAATGCTGCGGGATTAATATGTTCAAATCTTTACATGTTGGAGATATTTGTCAAAACAGTATACAATGGTAAATCTCAAAGGAAGAAGAGATATTTTGCATAAATATTTTTACACAGCGGATGCCCTTCCAGCCGCAACCCAACACTGGAAAACACCCATACACTCTTGCATTCACACACGTACACTACGGAAAATTTAGCTTATTCAATTCACCTACACCACATGTCTTTGGACTGTGGGGGAAACCGGAGCACATGCAAAAGGAGAACATGCAAACTCCACACAGAAATGCCTACTGACCCAGCTGAGGCTTGAACCAATGATCTTTGCTGTGAGGTGATCGTGCTACCCATTTATTTATTTATTTATTATTGTTTTATGTGTAGTCATAATATCATATAATTTGCTATCATTGTTAATATTTGTGTCCTTTTTATAGGCTTGAATATGTATGTTCAACATGTAATAAATTGAAAAAAAAATAAAAAATACAATAATATCCCTTTACATTGTACGGTACACGACAAAAAATGAATAGCTGTGTATTATGGGAGATTTTATGGGAACTTTCATTTTTTCTAAAGCATTTTTGTTTTACAATAAAGCAAAATACATGTACATTCAATTATAAAAATCAATTTATAATTGTATAATATTTGGTCTTAAAAATACCACCACAAGAATATAAATGTAATAAATAAATAATATATAATATAATAAATTTGTATTTTGTGTAATAAATATAATATATTAACATGTTGCGCAAATAACAAAGGTCTACAGTAATATTACTGTACTCCTTCTTTAACATAAATAGCATTTTATTGATATTTTAGTAAGTTTTAGTTATTTATTTTTTATTTGTCCATAGTTAGTTCCTTCTTTTAAAGCATTCAACAGATTTCATTGTTAGTGTTAGTTTAATAACACTGAGTAACTAGTTTGTATTAATAGTTTGAATTACTTTTAATTATGTTACTTTTTGTAAAAACTTTTAACTTTTACTTTTTTGTTTCACTTTTCTCTTTTAATATTGAGTTTCTGGAACAAAATATTTCAAGTTGTTTCAGCTTCATTAGACATTCCGATTGAACCAGATCCTATATTAATTATAATCTGAGTTTCCGAAGAATTTTTGAGATTTACACGAGTACAACAACAGTTTGTTTCATATGGGTTGATCTCTGCCAAAAAAACTCATCTTTTTGTTTTGGAAGAAAAAAGAAGTTCTCTTAAATGATGGCTGGCAGAGTTAACAGATACACTGCGCCTGGAAAAAAATCTGATATACACTAATTGACAAGGTTTTGTTTTTTGAAAAAACGTGGTTCCCTTATTTCCTTTTTACAAACTTGTGATTAATATGTTTACTTTGCCTTTAATACCTACATTTATTGTTGGATAGCACTGGTGGGTGGTTGGTTGGGGGAATGCATGTTTATTTTATTATTTATTTATTTATTTTTATTATTTTATGACTGTTGTTTGTTGTTGTTGTTGTTGTTGTTTTTTAGAATATTACTTTATTTTATTTATATATATTTTTAAATGTCTAATTGGTTGAATGCAAGTTTTATGTTTATGTTTAAAATAGTGTATTTTCAAGTAAATGTCTGCGAAATTTTCAAATAATAAAAATATTGAAACCAAGAAATCACTATCATTTGCTTTATGCAGTACAACTTTTTGTGGAGATTTTCATGTTCACAATTTTTCTAATAATTTATATTTTGTACATACTAAAGACAAATACATTTCAATGGAATTGTGAGTTCTTTGATTCTGTTTCAGGAAAAAAATATGAGAGTAATATTCTAGAGTTTTGCTTAATAAAGGATGGAATAAAATGACTATTTACCTGACATGACATTTTTATTTACATTTTAGAAAGTTTGACTAAATTTGTACACATTTTTAAGCTAATCTGTAGTTTAAATAACATTTCAGACAATTTGATTTATCTCAAGTTGTTTTAATATTTAAAAATGTAAATAATTTGTTAGTGTTATTTTAGTATTAATTGTTAAGTGAAGTAATTTTTATTAATAATGGTTTGTATATATACAGTTGAGGTCAGAATTATTAGCCCCCCTGTTTATTTTTTCCCCAATTTCTGTATAACGGAGACATTTTCTCAACACATTTCTAAACATAATAGTTTTAATAACTCATTTCTAATAATAAATATAGTAAATAATATTTGACTTGATATTTTTCAAGACACTTCTATACAGCTTAAAGTGACATTTAAAGGCTTAACTAGGTTAATTAGGTTAACTAGGCAGGTAAGGGGAATTAGGCAAGTTATTGTATAATGATGGTTTGTTCTGTAGACTATCGAAAAAAAAAAGGGGGCTAATAATTTTGACCTTTAAATAATTTTTAAAAAATCCAAAACTGCGTGTATTATAGCCTAAATAAAACAAATACAACTTTCTCGAGAGGAAAAAATATTATCAGACATACTGTAAAAATATTTGCAATGTTATACATCATTTGGGAAATATTTAATAAATGAAAAATTCAAAGGGGGGCTAATAATTCTGACTTCAACTTTTTAATAACTTTTGTTTTTATTAAATACATAATAACACATACTAATATAATAACCCAACTTAAATGAAAAAACTAAATTAAGTTGCATTTAAATTAATTGTTACATTAATTCATTATTTTGTCATTAATATTATTTAAATGTTAGAAATGGTCTATCATTTTAATTTTGCATGCACCTAAAGAGAGAATCCAGAAAACCTCCAGTTGGTGAGTTGATTATTTTGTATGACTCATCAATCCATGAAAAGGTTTATTTTCAGACACTGACGGTTTTGTATCATGACTCAGGAATATTTGCGTGCGCTGGTGATTTTGTGTGTTTGTCGTGTGTTTTGGAGACGCCACTGATATCAGCGGGATCTGCTGCTCAAACACACACAGGCGGAGCGGCGCCACTGCAGACTTGCTCTCTCTTTCTCTCTCTCTCTCTCTCTTTCTCTCTCTTCAATTGTTTAGATAAGTTATTTTCTGCACAGACATTTATTTTGGGTTTTAAATTTAGGTTTACTTCTCAACACTTATTATCATGCATCGTAAAAGAGTTACTTTAAGCTATTTTAATAAGTAAATCAGGCTTTAACTAAACTACTAATTCATTTTCTTTTCGACTTAGTCCCTTTATTAGGCTTCCTTCTATTGGTACGCGGAGGAATGAAATACGTCATGTACAAGCTACACACATTTCAAAATTTACCAAAAATGATGTATACAATATGCTATATATGACATATAGCCTATATTTCTGAGGTAATCTGCCACTTTTTTTAACTGTGCAGAGTTGTAGCTGCTTTACTGGGCCTACTACGCTACTGTATTTCAATACTTTAGTAAGTTCCATCATTATAAATATAGTTTGTTGGTTTGTCGTTTCCCAAATCCGTCACTCCAACGAACGTTCGCAAACTCAGTCGCAAACTTGAGCACTCGCAACTACACCTCTGGAGCTGTAGTTAGAAACATAGTTCCTGGCTGTGTTCTATTGCCACTTATCCCCCCTATGCCCTTTTCATTTAGATCATTCTAACATTCAAAGTTGGAATTATTAAAATTAAAAAAGCATTAAGGTCATCTCTCTTAGGTGTAATTTGCTTTCTAACAATTTTAACAGTTCAGTTTTAGCGATCTTCATGTTTACAATTGTGCTCCCTTGGCAGTGCACTTTGAAAACATTGATGTCATTTTGAACACAGCCTCATGGCGAAAGCTATAGGTGACCTATTATTTAAAGCGGAATTTATGTTACATCTCCAAAGCTTGTGAAAACAAAAAGCATACGTTAATTCTTTTAATTTATAGTGGGTTATTTATTAAGTATCTGTACTGTATATGACATGGGCCTGCTGGTTAGAACTTTCTGCAGTGGTTTACAAGTGTCCAATTGTAAAAGTAGACTTTTTAAAAAAATAAAATACAAAAATAAATATGAACCCCCGTGCAGTCGAATAAAACACAATATATTAAAGCCTTATCACATAACACACACTCCATCTCGCCAAATAAAATTAAGAATCTTTCTTGATTTCGACATCATTCTCACAAACATTTGGGATCATTAGTCAGTGACATATGTAACCCTGTTCTGGTGTTTGTCATGAAAAAATCAATTGTTCAGCCCACGCTGTGACTGTGATGAACATAAAATACATTTTAGAAGGCAACATAAATATTCTGTTTACCTTGTGGATGAGTCTTCATGTCAGAAGTGCATCTGCTGTGATCTAGAGAAGGAAAGAGAAATCTTAAACTAGAACAGGGTGAAAAACTGCACTGGGTTTGATGAACAGACACTCACTGCACACTAATGATAATACAAGAGAGCAGTGTGAAGTGATGTAGTAGCTGGGAAGATGACAATAAAGGTAACAATAAATGCTAACTTAATTATATTCTTTAAATTAAATCAAACAACTTAGTAGACTGCAAAATATATAAATTAATATCACTAACGTAGTTAAGAATAAATTGATACATTTTAAAAATAACTTAATATTTCTAGACAGGTCTTCATATCAGGGGGTTTATTCTGAAAGATTCATAACATAACATAACATAACATAACATAACATAACATAACATAACATTACATAACATAACATAACAGCATAACATAACATATAACATAACATAACATAACATAACAGCATAACATATAACATAACATAACATAACAGCATAACATAACATATAACATAACATAACATACCATAACACAACATATAACATAAGCCATAACAACATGTACAAAATAACACCAAACTATAACAAAATATAACATTACCTAACAACATAACATAATATATAAAATAGCATGTTATGTTGTGTTATGGTATGATGTTATATTATGCTATATGTTATGTTATATTACATATCATATAACATTACATAAACTATAACAACATATACCATATACCATAAACTATAAGAAAAAATAACATTACATAACAACATAACATAAAGCAATATATAAAATAACACAGCATACAGTATAACATAACATATAACAAGCATATAACAACATCAAATTTACATAGCATATGACATAACATGTAACATATAAAACATATAAAATTACATACTGTAGCATGTTATGTTATGCTATATGCTGCATTATATATAACATAACATATAACATA